TCTGCGGTGCCTTTGACGTGGGTTCCAGGCGTTGCCTAGGGAACCGCCTGTTTACGCAGGAGCGCGGGGCGGGACACCGGCCAAGTGCTTCCGAAAAGCCGGCGCCCCACTTCCCGTCCCCGCGGGGTGCCTCGGCCTGGGTCCGGCTTCAGAGTGCCAAGGGACCTCCGCAGGGACCGCTTTCTGGCCAAATAAAGCGGGAGTGGCTCTCCGGTAAATGACCACATTCAACAAGGATTCATTCTCCAGTTCTTTTCTTGGATACGAGGTCCTGGGAAGGCCTCGGCTGGAGGGGGATGCTTTGCCTCCCTGTGGGTGTTTCCGGCATACGCAGGTAGGGAAGGAATCAAGAACCTGAAGTGACAGCTGTCCAAATCTGGAGATTTCAAACCAGGGGGCAGCGGCGCATAGTAATTCCTCCTTTGGAAAACTGCTGTTTGAAACTGCTGTTTGAACTACTCTGTTATTCTTAGTCTCTTATTCTGTAGGTCAACTCTCTTATTTTTAGATAGTCCCTTATTCCGTAAAATAACTTTTAGTTTAAATAATAGAAAAAGATAAAAACTTAACTGACCTTGCAAGCTAGCCATCTGATGTAACTGATACTGATACTAATTCCCATATTCTTATGCCAAGTATTGATTCATTATGTATTCAAGGTTAAAAAACTGTAACAATAACCTACACAGAGCTCTTTGTAAAATCGGCAAAGGGCTCAAAAAGGTATAAATAGAACTTCCTCTATTTGTTTGCTCAGAGATTTGGGAAACACCTCCCTCTGGGCCTCACGAATAAAGACTCCTAATTAATTGGCTCATTAAGGCCTCTCTTATATCTATCTCGCTGATTTACCATACAGTAGCAGGATAGGTTAATCCAGGTGTTCTCAACCTTGAGCATCTAACAGAATCACCTGGACTTCTTGCTGAAACTGAGTGAGTCGGCCCAACCCCAGGTTTCAGATTCAGTGGGTCTGGGGTCCTGTCCTAGAATTTTGCATCTCTTAACAAGTTCCCAGGTGGGGATGTTACTGGTCTGGTGGCCACACTCTGGGAACCACTGGTGTACTGTGCTTATTAAATGCAGATTCACTGGTTGACTCGCAGGATTACTGAGGACAGGCCTACGAATCTAAACCCCACAGGTGACTCTGATACAGTGCTCTGAGGAGCTAGTAGGATATGGATTTTAGTCCCTTGCTTTAAAGAGCCGGGGACCCAGAATCATGCATCATTGGCTCTCACACGTGTTGTGGGAAAAGGGAGCGTGTTCCTTCTCTGTGGCCTGGCCTTCCTCGGTTCTCTGGAATGTGATGTGTTTTGAGTGCAAGGTGCTGCCATCTAGGCAGTCACCACAGGTGCAGCTCTGGGTATCTGGTTGGGAGAGACAGGCACAGGGCCTGTAGGCCCAGGGAAGGTGCATCTCAAGTTTCTGGGCACAGGCTGCTAATGGGGGGAAGTGAGCTCAGCCCTCAGGTTCTCTAAGGCTGTGGTTTGTAAAGTGTGGACCCTGGACCAGCAGCATCAGTCTGACCTGGCAACGTGTCAGAAATGCAGATTCTCAGGCCTGGCTCCCAACCTGAATCTGAAATTCTAAGGTGGGACCCAGCCACATGCTTTGCAAGTGATTCTGATACACAATCAAGTTTGGAGAAACACTGCTCTAAAAAATGATTGGTACATGTGCAGATCTTAGAATCAATTATATGAGTGCCTTGGTTGCTTATTTCAGTGATGGAAAATATCCTACTGGAAATTAACAGCATAAATAGTTCATTTAAGGTGGTAACTAAGACGGTGTTTCTTGGCCTCAGCATTATTGACATTTTGAGACAAATAATCTTAGTTGTGAAGGCTACCCTATGCATTACAGATGTTTAGCATTATCTCTAGCCTCTAGCCATGATACCCCTGTAGTGACAACTAAAAGTTATGTCTCCAGATATTGGCAAATGTCCCCAGGGATTGGGGGGTGGGGGTGGGGGGGGGCAGGAATCAACCCAGATGAGAACCACCGAATTAAGACAAAAATTTAATAGATTAATTTATAAAATCTCTGTGCTAAGTTTTCAGAAACAACAAGTAAGATAAGGATTCCAGCTGGAAGAATCTTACAGCCTTAGGTACACACAAATATATTGCAACGTGGAAAGTATTGTGAAAAATATACAAATGAAATTCTATGGAGGTGACTAACTCTTCCTAGGGAAGGTGATGGAGAATTAAGACTTGGCACAAGAAGTGACAATGGACTCTCTAAAAAAAAAGAAGAAGAAAGGGAAGGACACTTGATGCATGTGTGAAGTCTGAAGGTTAGTGCTAAGTACTTTACTCTTGGGTACTGGCGAGAAATACTGTATCTGAGGCTATGTGGGGTCGGGAGTGAAGAGGGGGAACGATGAAAACTGATTGGGGCCCTCTTACAAAGGCCTTGCGTGCAGTGTTGCAGAGATGGAACTTCATTGGGAGAAGACGGGGTAATGGCACTAGCCATTGAAGGAGTTTAAACAAGGGAGGGCCATGATCAGGCATGGTTCAGAAAGGTAAGAGTGGCCTCACACTCTCCCGGTTTCTCCTCTTCCTCGTTTGCCTCAGTGTCCTCAGCTAGTTCATCCTCCCTCACCTACCTTTAAATGCTAGAATCCAAGGCCCCGTCCTGGGCAGCTCTGGACTTCCTCCCCCTTCTCACTCACAGCCACAGCTTTGAAAACTATATACTCACAACTCTAAATTATGTCCCTAGCTCCAAACCATGTATCTTGCTACTTGGCAATGACCCTTGATGTGCAAAAGCACCTCAAATGTAAGATGACCAAAATGGAATTTGTGATCTTTCCTAAAAACCTTAGTCCTCAGTATTTTGAATCTAAAAGAAACCAAAAAACAAACAACAATGGAAAAATTTCCTTGGGCTGAAACCGGTTTGGCTCAGTGGATAGAGCGTTGGCCTGCGGACTGAAAGGTCCCAGGTTCAATTCCGGTCAAGGGCTTGTACCTGGGTTGCGGGCACATCCCCAGTAGGAGATGTGCAGGAGGCAGCTGATCAATGTCTCTCTCTCACTGATGTTTCTAGCTCTCTATCTCTCTCCCTTCCTCTCTGTAAAAAATCAATAAAATAGGATCTATACAGACTTGGTGGATGGCAAAGCCAGTTTAAATGAATTAATTACCTCAGTTTCTGTCGGCTCAGAAAAAAGAAATACTACTAATCACAGCAGAGTTTAAGGAATATTGAGAGCATTACATGTTGAATAATTTTAATTCTTCATTTTATAATGACTGGTAATGATCAAATTTATTTTTAACAGGCTCACAGGCAAGAATACCAAGAGTTACCATTTCTTTCATGTTTTATTTTTTTAACATGTTTTTATTGATTTTAGAGAGATAACAAGGGAAAGGAGAGAGAGAAACATCTCGGCTGCCTCCTGCACACACACCCCATACTAGGGATCAAGCCCACTACCCTGTCTGTGCCCTGGAATGGAACCAGCGACCTTTTGGTGCATGGAATGAAGCTCACCCAACTGAGCCACACTAGCCAGGACATCATGTTATAAATCTACCTGGCATGTAGCTGGTAGACGATGAGACTTGTCCCACTGTAGTGATTCACTGATTGTTTTCTACTATGCACCTGTATTTCAGGACCTATACCTGTATATCTATGCATCTCTGAAGTATAATGATTTTATATTTAGCCATAGTGTACTATTTTAGAAAAATGGGAATTGGCTTACATGTACAATTTGGATATAGGTTTCCACATAATTCAGATGAAAATTACTGTTAGATAACGATTGCTTTAAAAAGAAAGCCTTTAAAAGTCATAGAAGTCACTTGAGAAGAAACCCATCCCTCAGTGGGTCGTCGTCTTCTATTGTAAAGCTTGCTGTTCCCGTGTAATGGGCTTGTCCGGATACTTCCACTATAACTGCATTAAAATCCCCACACTTTGCTTCCTGAAAAAAGGTGAAAGGAGTACAATATCAAAATACCGCATTCACATGGTATCTGGTTTAAGTCATATTGTTAATTTTTATCACTTTAAAGAAAACCCAAGAGTTAATCCAATGAAAGGAGAGCGACCTGATCAGGTCTGTGTTTTACATAAATTAACCTGTACAGTGGGAGACAACTGGAGAGGAGAGAAACTAGACACCCAGAACCCTGTGGAAAGGGAAGCTTAATTCATTGATTGAATCTACAGTCACTGGGGTAATTTTTAGTGAGGCTGGAAAAGAGCAAAATACAGAGATACTTTGGAGGAAGAACTGACAGGCCTGGGGATTGATATGTGTGGGAAGTAAGGAATAGAAATAAATATGACTACAGCTTTTAGTTTGAAAGTGATGGGGAATGTGGCAGGAGAGGCACCTTTAGGAAGAAAGAAGTTTTTAACAAGTTGAGTTTGCGATATCTCTGGGACAGTCATTTTGAGATGAGTTTACTGGACAGTTGGGAACACACCTGTTAGACTCAGGAGAGAAGCCCAGGGTAGGCATGGGAAGGAGGAAGGTTTGGAAGTCATCAGTGGGTGGCTGAGAGTTGAAACTTCAGAAGTGGGTGAAATGGCCCAGTGGCATCAAATTGCAGATGAGATGAGAAGGAAGCTAAGGATAAAATGCTGGGGGCTTCTGAACAGAAGGATTGGGAAAGGAAGCTGGGCAGGTAAAGAGATGGAGATTCTATTAGCCTGGAAGAGCCCAGAGATGAAAGGTCAGTGGTGCAAAGGAAGATGATCTGGCAAGTATGATAATTGGGATTAAATAACTTCAAATCTTCACTACAGAGTATCTTTTCATTTTCTAATTGAAAACAAACAAACAGGATAACTGAAGCTTAAGGTAAATATCAATTATGAGCTTAGGGTACAGTAATTTTATTATCTAATATAATAATAGAGGAATATGCAAATTAGTCAGGACGCTGTAATGTCATGACAGATCTACAAGCAGCAGAGACCTAGAGGGCAGGGCAGCGAGCTATGAGGCAGAGAGCTACAAGCTGCAGTGGGCAGGGTGGCCAGCTGAGGCAAGCAGCAGCGAGCTACTCGCACACGGATTCGTGTGCAGGGCTACTAGTCTTTTTGTAAAGCTGCTATAATATAAAGCCCCACTGAAAACTTGCCTTGTCTAATCTATACTAATAAAAGGGTAATATGCTAATTAGACCGGGAAACCTTCCGGGAGACCTTCCAGACATCCTTCCAGACAAAGCCATGGTGGCGGGGCTGAGGCAGAGGCTGTTGGGGCAAAAAGGCCAACAGGGGAGGGCAGTTGGGAGCGATCAGGCTGGCAGGAGAGGGCAGTTGGGAGCAAGCAGACTGGCAGGGGACAGCAGTTGGAGGCAAGCAGGCAGGGAACGGCAGTTGAATCCTGCAGGGATCGGGCCTAAACCAGCAGTCAGATATCCCCCGAGGGGTCCCAGATTAGAGAGGGTGCAGGCTGGGCTGAGGGACACCTCCCCATCCCCCATGCACGAATTCCTGCACTGGACTACTAGTAGCAATAAAATATAATGCTTAACAGTGTGGGGTCTGCTTAGAGAGATCCATGTTCATAGCCTGGATCCATTACTCTTTGACTTTTGGCAAATTACCTAAACTCTCCAATTTATCATTTGTTAAAGAAGAAGAATAGTATTGACCTCCCAGGATTCTTGTGAGAATTAAATGATATGGTATGCATAATGTGTTTAGCTTGGAAACTGACATGTAGTGAAACACCCAATAAATATTATAGATTATTACTTTATCTTCATTCTGAGACTTGAAGACAATGTATCCCAAATTTTTGCATACAACATAATGGTTTGGTACCTCATAAGATCAGGTAACGTATAGGCATGCCTAACTTAAAGAAAATTCAATATTTAGAAAAATCAAACTTTAAAAACATCTATATTTCCCTGGCCATGTGGCTCAGTTGGTTGAGCATCATCTAGTGCACCAAAGAGTGCAGGTTCAACTCCCAGTCAGGGCACATACCTAGGTTGCCAGTTGATTCCTTGGTTGGGGCACCTACAACCAATCACTGTTTCTCCCTCATCTCGCTTGCAGGGGGCTAGATGTAAGCTGGCAAGGTCCTTGCACCTGCAGGGGCTAGCAAGGCCGGGACCCTTACCCACACAGTTTTCCCAGACTTGTTTGGATGGCGATTATCAGTAGAATGAGAGCAACCTTTGTAGAATAAGAACAGCCTTTCATAGCTTACCAAGAAGTCTGTAACTATTTACTGAGATATGCTGTACTGAGAACTTGTCCTTCTGCTGTGTCTCTCCCTTAGAGATTAAGAGGAACAAAGAATACATTCCTCTTGTTGTGTATAAATAAGATTGTGTGGCTAATAAACTTGCTTCAGTTCCTCGAGAACTGGAGTCCTCCCGATCCCGCTTTCCTGTCTTTCTTTCTTTTCTCAATTCCCACCTCCCTGCCTCAGCCCGGCTCAACCTTGTCAGGCTGGCCCTGACACTCTCTCTTTCTCTTTCTCTTTCTCTTCTTTCTCTTTCTCTTTCTCTTTCTCTTTCTCTTTCTCTTTCTCTTTCTCTTTCTTTCTCTTTCTCTTCTCTCTCTCACTCAAATCAATAAACATATCCTTGGGTGAGGATTTTTTAAAAAAAGCTATATTAGGATATAAAAGTATTAGGATAGATTGCTATGTTAAAGGACTCTTTATGAGTAGATTTACTTACTAGATGTAAACAAGTTATCCTGTAGATTTCATTTATTAATGAGTAAATTCATTAATTAGCTCTATGAGCACATTTAATATTTGATTCCATTATAAAAATTCTGCCCACAACTTTTCAGGACTTTCACATCCTATTATAAAATGAAACACTCCTATAGAATAAAAACAAGCAAACAAAACATCCAAACCCTAGTTTAATGGCTCTCAGACATTTTGGTGCCAGGAGCCCTTTACACCTTCAGGTTTGAGGACCTCAAAATAGTTTTTGTTTACGTAGGATATATCTATTAATATTTGCTTTTAAAAATATTAAATATATTATTTTCATTAATTCATTTAAAAAATAAACTCATTGCATGTTAACATAAATAACAAATTTTTGTGAAAATAACATTTGCCAAAACAAAAAAACTAATGAGAAAAATGGCATTGTTTTACATTTTTGGAAACATCAATGTCTGGCTGTAAAGAAGACAGCTAGATCCTCATATCTGCTCCTACATTCAGTCAGCTGGGATAGCACATTATTCTGCCTCTGGAGAACTGTACACTGATGAGAGAAAGAAAGTGAAAAGCAAACGATGTCTTAGTATTATTACGAACATTGTTTTGGACTTGTGGACCCATGGAAAGGACCCTGGGAACCCCCAGGGGTTTTCAAACCTCACTTTGAGGACCAGTATCCTAGCTGAACAGTTTTTACAGGTCTGTTTGAAAATCGTCTTCTGAGAGCTGAGTGAAGAAACTCATCACACACCCGACTCACGCCTCTCAGTCTCCAAAGTAACCCATTTACAGAAGAAGGGAAGGGTGTCACTCACCCTCACAGCCTTCCCTGTGAAGACTGAGCCAGTGGCACTGCTTTTAAAGGCTCTGGTCTGGTTCAGTTCCAGAAGCCCTTTGTGATACTGTAAGGCAATTCGGGCTGTCACTCCTGAGCCCGTAGGACTTCGGTCAACCTGTTTCAGAGCAAACAAAGATAAGAAAGTTCATAGCTCTACTTCCACATCGCATGACTTTTGTGCCTAAAAATCACAGTTTTAATACCTGCTCATCTGCAAACACACAGATGTTGGTGGTTGGATCCTCACTGTAAGTGTCTTTTCCATCTGTTAATATAGTTCCATATAGAAAGGCAAGGTCTTCACTATCAGGATGAGTAATTTTACACTGCAAATAACAAAAAATTATCAACCACATGTAAAATAGCTTTGATTTAAGTTTATATTTTAAATAACATATATGGGGCTCTCTTAGACATAATTTTTCCACCTTTATCATTTTTAAAACACCTTCTGGGTCAAGGCACTAAATGCTAGAATGACATCTTTGTCTAGATCCGTGGTCGGCAAACTGTGGCTCGCGAGCCACATGCGGCTCTTTGACCTCTTGAGTGTGGCTTTTTCTAAGCCTTAGGAGTACCCTAATTAAGTTAATAACAATGTACCTACCTATATAGTTTAAGTTTAAAAAATTTGGCCCTCAAAAGAAATTTCAATCGTTGTACTATTGATATTTGGCTTTGTTGACTAATGAGTTTGCCAACCACTGGTCTAGATGAATAAACATAGTTTTATTGGAAGTTGTGATTTTTTTTTTATTGATTTCAAAGAGAGGAAGGGAGAGGGAGATAGAAACATTAATGATTAGAGAGAATAATTGACCAGCTGCCTCCTGCACGCCCCCTGCTGGGGATTGAACCCACAAGCTAGGCATGTGCTCTGACTGGAAATCAAACTGTGACCTCCTGGTTCATGGGTGGATGCTCAACCACTGAGTCACACTGGCCAGGTGGAAGTGTGAGTCCTTCCGAAGGAAGTTGCCCTGCACATAGCCTCTACTAATGGAACAGTCCTACTTTATACACACCCCCACTAAGTAAACACACACACTGTTTGAGGCGCTGAGCCCAGGATGGTCAATCCACAGGCTGGCCATGGCTGCCCAAACAGGAGGAGCTAAGGCAGTGATTCCCAAAGTGGGCGCTACCGCCCCCCGGTGGGCGCTGCAGCCATCCAGGGGGGCGGTGATGGCCACAAGTGCATTTGTTTTCACTTCTTTTGTATTACCTTTCTATTCTGAGTTCAATAAATAGTTTCATAATTTCAAACTTCAATGTTTCTAATTTACACCTTTCTTTACTATATTTTACGAAAAAGGTAGAAACATTAATACATATATCTTTCTGTTTAATTGCTATTAAAATTTTAAAAAAATTTAATTTCCAGGGGGCGCTGAGTAATATTTTTTCTGGAAAGGGGGCGGTAGGCCAAATAAGTTTGGGAACCACTGAGCTAAGGCAACCATATCCTCACTCTCAGGAGCTTGAAGGGGATCATGTGGAGAAACCAGGCAATGAGTATCTAGAGCTGAAGTGAATACCAGTGATGACGAAGACTGTGAGAGGCCCAGAGCAAGCAAAAGTTACCGGGATGCGGATGCTATTCGGTAAGAGAAACAATTGGATGGAAAAAGAAAGATTTATTGTAAAGAATGAAGTCAGCCCAGGTGGGTGTGGCTCAGCCGTTGAGCATCGACCTAGGAACCAAGAGGTCTCCGGTTGGATTTCTGGTCGGGGCATATGCCCAAGTTGCAGGCTGGATCCCCAGTGGGGGGCGTGCAGGAGGCACCTGATCAATGATTCTCATCACTGATATTTACTAATCTCTCTCTCTCCCTCTCCCTTCCTCTCTGAAATAAATAAAAATATACATTTTTAAAAAGAATGAAGTCCGCTGGTATCGTGAAAAGCAGCAGTGTAGATGGCAGCAACAGTACTGACCTGAGCTTTCACTGCTTCTGTCACTGTACTTGCTGCATCCACAAGGTCCCTCGTCTTTGCAGAACAAACATCGAGTCCTAACTTTTCAGCACTAACAAATGCATAAAATGCGCCACCATATGCAATGTCCACTACCACCTTCCCATGACCGGGAACATCCACCAGAAGATCTAAAAAAGATGTGTTTGAATAGTGTGTTTTAGTAGCTTAGCAATATAAATCATACAATTTTTCATATGTTTATGTTGCGGGGGGGGGGGCGGGGAGCGTAGAGGAAGTGGGGGGAGTTCCTATCATAAAATGGAATGAAACAAAAATGCATCTTCAAAATGAGTAAGCATCAAGTAAATAATAATAGAGCTTTAGCTAAGTACACCTTTCTATTTTTAACTTGATTTTGCATAAGTTATACGAGTGCACTTGAATGCATGTTTTCCTTAAATTATACATGCATATTTGTTAACTATTCTGAGTATCTTTTTTTTTTTTTTCTAGGAGACATTATAGAGACAGAGAGAGGAAAACCCTGGGGCCTCAACGTGTGAAAACTATGAAGGAAAATGTAGGTCTCCTCTCATACTACTAGGAGTGGTTTTAAATAGTGAGGATTTGGAGCCCTATTCAGAAATTGGTTTTCTTCAAATCTGTCATCAAAACAAAATGGGAGGCCGAAACCGGTTTGGCTCAGTGGATAGAGCGTCGGCCTGCGGACTGAAGGGTCCCAGGTTCGATTCCGGTCAGGGGCATGTACCTGGGTTGCGGGCACTTCCCCAGTGGGGAGTGTGCAGGAGGCAGCTGATCGATGTTTCTCTCTCATCGATGTTTCTAACTCTCTATCTCTCTCCCTTCCTCTCTGTAAAAAATTAATAAAATATATTTAAAAAAAAAAAACAAACAAAATGGGGGAAAAAAACACAAAACAAAACAAAAAACCCCAAAATGGGGAAAAAGAGACTTTTCCTATACGTTACATACTTATATAATATGGCTAATCTTAATGTTCATAAGATTGCAAAAAACACTTATTCACTTATATATTTCATTGGAAAACACTTATTCACATATATTTCGTCTCATGCAAATACTGCAGGCAAATACTCAGAACAAACTACTGTGCAACCACTTACTTGTATGGTATTATTTTGCATCAGGGTTTTTATAGGTATTTTGAGTGCCGACATAACCAAAGTTTCACCTGAAGGTCACTCGTTTGAAATACTGAATTTACATTTCCAAAGGAATGGGGCTGGCCGATATTTCGGGATATTAAAACTGTTTCCCCCTTCTCGAATTTTCCTCTTTCTCCTCCCCAATTCCAGTGGGCTTGGTGATCACAGCCTCTGGGGGAGGGACATGGCAGGGGAGAAGCAGGTTTTGTGGAAAACGATCGCAGGGGAAAGAGATCTGTTGGCCAAGGAGTGTCTATATATATATTTTTTCCTCCATCACCATTTATCCCCTGTGCCCTCTTCCACCTCCCCCTCCCCCCCACAACCACCACACTGTTGTCCACATCCAAGAGTTCTCTTTTTAAAAACCTTTATTGTTGAAAGTATTACGTATGTCCCCCTTTTCCCCCATGGACGCCCTCCAGCGAGTTCTCTTTTTTCTACATTATTCCATCCCCCCGTGGAACTTCCTCTGGACTGAGAAAAGAGGCTGGAGGCCCTGAGTGCAGAGGGCCTGTTAACTTCCCCATACACCACGGAGAGGCTGCAGGCTGTGCCAGAGGCAGCAGGAGGAGGGGGCGGGGGCAGGGGCCACATGGAGGGGGCGGATGTCGCTTCCCTGGTAGGTAACTTGTGCAAGCCAAGGCCTGGGCTATTTTCAGAAACCTTTGCTCACATATATATGAGGAAAAGGGGCAGCAAGTGGAAGGATGAAACTACGTCAACCAATAAGGCAGAGTGGAGTCTCAAATTCAGAAATTAAGTTGTGAAAAATAAAATATTTCTTGTATTCCTGAGTTTGCACAGTCCTACAAAGGTACCAGTATGCGATCAGTTACAGAGTAGCCCACAGAGCCCTTTTTACATGTGACGTGTCAAAATACAGCAAATTTATCATCAAAAGAGTAAAACATGCCTGTGGAACTTAACAGCAAACCTGAATAAACAGGTCTTTATCTGGATGCTGGTGCAACATGAAAAGCACATTTAATAAGAGAATGAGGAATTCGATGGAAATAAGGGACTGCTAGAAAGCTAAGTGTGGCTTTGGTGTCCTCATGTGTAAAATGGCACTACTATTCCCCTCCTCCCCCCAAAAGGTTTTCTTTGAGAATCCCATGTGATTATGTGTGTGGAGTGGTTGGCACAGATTAGTAATGTAACAAATGTTAATATTAAAGCCAGAAGTTTAATTTCCAATAGGAATAGAACTCTTAAGAGAACCAGTTGTTTACATTTGCCAGTCAGCATAGTCTCCTCCAAATTTCATTTTAGGTATTCATTTCACAAGTGTTAACTACCGACTGTTTTAGCACTTGAATACACTGAACAAAATTCTGGAGTTTTCATTTTGGCAGGTGGAGTGGAGGTGGACTCAGCAATTTTCTGAGATGGGCACTGTTGTCATCTTCATTTTACAGACATGACACTGAGGAACAGCAACCCTTTCACAAGGTTGCCTAGATGAGGAAGGACAGAGTAGTGATCTTGATTGAACAGTCAGTCCACCTTTTTTGTATTTTTCTAAGTAGAGAATTTAGGATTTCATTTTCTTTTAAAATATATTTTTATTGATTTCAGAGAGGAAGGAAGAGGTAGAGAGATAGAAACATCAGTAATGAGAATCATTGATTGGCTGCCTCCCACATGCTCTCCCCCCCACACACCCCTTCCCTGCAGGCCCCACACTGGGGATCAAGTCCACAACACGGGCATATGCCCTGACCAGGAATCGAACCATGACATTCTCTGGTTCATAGGTTGACGCTCAACCTCGGAGCCATACCAGCCGGGCAAGATTTCATTTTCTTAATGCAGTGATGTTCTCGGATCTACTGAGCTGATGGGGTTGGCTGCCCCTGCCATCACTTGCCCAAATTGAGGTGGTGGTGATCCTGCTGCCTGCTGTCATTTCCCACAAAATCTAGAGGGCTTCCCACCTGCTGCTGGGGTGGCTTAGGTGCCAAGTTAAACTGTTGAGGTTTTTGAGGTGAAATCTAAACACAGACTCCTGTCTCCCTCCAGTGCCTTCCCAATACAGATGTGACCCCATTCTCTCCTAAAGGGGAAAGTGGCATCTATTTGCTCTAAGAATGAGTGAGCTGGACTATCACGGCATCATTCAGCATCAGATTAACCTGGGATCCAAATCCTAGGGGAGGATTAAGATTGAACTCACAGCATTGAAAGGGCGAGGGCTACGCCCTCCATCTTACTCCGGATCCTCCATATTTAGGCAGCAGCCATCAGCCATGTGTTCAGCAAGGAGCTTCTTCCCGGAAGCCCAAGCCTCTCCTCCTCTTACTCCAACCCCCCTATTAAACCCCTCTTCCCACGGGGCTCTCGCGCTCTCTCAGCCTCTTGCCGCTGTGGCGAGTGTGGCTGGGGGGGGGGAGGGCGGCAAACTAGTTTGAATAAAGACTCTGCTTTTGCATCGGACTGGGCTGGCTCCCTGGTGGTCTATTGGGGATCTTGAAATCTGGGCATAACAGCATGATATGCATGGCTTGAAGGCTTTGAAAAAAAGAGGTGATAACCCTGTTCCTGGCTGGACTAACTTAGCTCCCAGCTCACTTCCAGCCATGACTACTTAAGCATCCTCACTGACAGAATGCAGCCCTTTGGAGGGGTTTCCCCTCTATGTAAGGATGATAGTTATTAGCCATTTATCACATGACACACAGGCTCTGTACTAGGGACCCACCAAAACCTTCTGAAGGCTCAGCACACCCAGAGGACGGACTAGTAACCTTATATATTCGGTAGTCTCTGTCTTGGAATATATCTTTTTAAATTCTAAGTAGTGCCTTACACTCATTCAATCCTCACAAAACTCAATTCGATAACACATGAAGTATAGACTCAGAGAGGTTAAGTAATTCGACTCAAGCGGCACAGCCTTATAGGGTTTGAACCCAGGCAAAGTCTGTTCCTGTTTTTAAAAAATAAGAGCAAGCGTTTTAGTGACATCGGTACTTTCACGATTTGTAAGTTGCCTAGTTCATTCTCATTTAATTTCCTCCCCAAGAAGTGGAGAAGCACTTTTTACAGATCAGTCCCAGTAACCTGTGTTTAGTAACCTGTCAGAGGGGGTGGTGTGTCTGGCGAGGGTATTCTGAGCCAGCCTGGAACCGGGCCCACTGGCTGGTCTTTGCCCTTTGACTCTGGCTTACCTACCTTTAGCCAATTGTGAAATCTAGGAACGCCTGCCGAGTGGGGGACGAGGCACTGAGAGAAGCGCGGAATTGGGTTAGGGTTAGTGTTAGGGTTTTAGGGTTAGGATTTTCAGGTGTCTCAAGGCTCTCAAGACCACAGGCCCATGGCCCTGGGGGATCAATCACTGAATTGCATACTTCGCACAAATCCGAAGGCTATGTGCAGTGACTCAGAATTTCCTTTTTATTACTTGCAAAGGGTTTGGGTTTGGGTTAGGGTGAGGGTTAGGTTTAAGGTTAGGGTGTCTCAAGGCTCTCAAGACCACAGGCCCATGGCCCTGGGGGATCAATCACTGAATTGCATGCTCCGCACACATCCGAAGGCTATGTGCAGTGACTTAGAATTGCCTTTTCATTATTTGCAAAGGCTGTGCGGTGGGTTAGTTGCGAGGCGCGGGTTCCAGCCCAGAGAACGAGTGCAGTTAGTAGCCGAGGGTGGGCGGTCCCGCCGGTTACCTGTGGCCAGCACGAAGGCCGGGACGCTGTGGAAGCGCACCGGGCCGCGGCCCCGGCCGC